CAACCACCCACTGATACGCTTTTCTTTTTATCGAAACAAACAAATAAACAAACAAGAAAACATTTACATATGGTAAATAGGCACTGCTTCCTTTGCACTGAATGACCGCCACCGTATCCGTGTGCTTTTTTTTATTAAAACAATCAAACAATAAATAAAAGCTTAATTTGTATAGCGCGAATTCCCCCTCAATAGCAATCTCTGTGCGCATTGCAATCTAATAATTACCCCCAGCAGCTTTAATAGCATTTCGGAACAATGTCGACTTTTTGCAAAGCATACAATGCAAGCTGCTAAAACACTAACAGAGAGACAAGAATCAAACAAACAGACATATACCTCTAAAAGCAAACAAATAAATATGCCAACAAATTAATAAAAGAGCAAACAATAAACAAAAAAACAAAAAAGAAACCAATAAACATAAACAGACACACAAATGAACAACAAAAAAGTGCAGGCTCCATATAATCAAACAAATAAACAAACAGACCAGAAAACTACCCCAAAGAAATCAACAAAGGCACACAAATAAATAGATGAACAAACAAAATGACAGTTTAGTTTTTAGTTTTAGTAGAGGTTTTACGGCGCTCGCAACCGCATACGGTCATATTATGAGCACCAGAAGATTAGAAGTTTTACAAGAGAGTAACAAACATAAAAAAAGAAGAAGGGGAGATAAGAACGACAGATGTTGGATAGGAAAGGAGAAGCAAACCACACCAGAGCACCCGCCAGCCACCACCAACAACAAAATGACAGACGCCCCAAACTCCCAACAACACGACAATCCAAACCAATTTCGCTTACCTTTGCCTGGAATTGTAGTCCGTGCTGAAAAGCCTCGTCATTGTGTAAAGGAATCCGACTGTCGTAACCGTCGTCTGAGACCAGGTCGTACGCCTTTTTCGACGGCATTTTGGCGGGAAAACTGGGAGACCAGGCTTCCGGTTAAGAGTGGCAAACCTCCGGGCCTGTTTATATTTGTGAGGAGAAGGGCAACTTGTACAGTTGAAGGTCGGTGACCTGAACAAGGTCAAACAGTATATCCAAGCGGTCAAATAGTATACTTTTGATAATCCCAAAAAGATCAAAGTGTACACTTTCTGTGACCAAACAAGGTCAAAGGGTATACTTTCGGTGATCCAAAAAGGTCAAAAAGTATACTTTAGGTGATCAAGAGGGTCAAAATGTACACTGCCGTGAACCCCAGAAGGTCAAAAGGTAAACATCCGATGACTACAGCGGGTCAAAGTGTATACAGCTGGTGACCTCAGAAGGTCAAATTATAGCAAACCGCTAACGACCCCAGAAGATCAAACCCGTGAACCGCCGGCCAGCGACCAACACTAACAAATCGAACACAATGTGTTTGCGCTAGAGAGAAGTTATGTCCACATAGGCAGAAGGCAGTCAGTGGGTGAGTGCGCGTGGGGTGGGGCGATCAGGGCGACGAGGTGAAAGGTCAGAGGCCGCCTCTGCTGATGCTGCTGGCTTTGTTGCTGACCCCTGCGAGCTGTGTGGGAACGTTTGTGTCCCGCTAATTACATCACTGTGGGAGGTGGAGATAGAATTATGAGGTGAATGGGAAGAATGACGTCACTGGAGGGAGATGCTGATCGTCTGCAAACAATTCCGCGAGGAGTGTGTCCGTATTTTGCTGCTGCTATTTATTCATTTGAGAAATATTTAGGATGGCTTTATCTTTGTCTTCCAATTGTTTTATTTATTTCAATGTGTTATCGGCCTTTCATAAATTGTAAAGAGAGAATTTATTTCGTTGCTAATAGGGTAGAATTTGCACGTGTGTTTTTATCGTTCTTTCAAATGTCTACCTGTTTTCTTCCCTGTCAATGTGTGTTCTATATTTTGTTTGATTTTATTCCCCCTGTCCTTCTTCTGTCTTTCTTTTCTGTTCACCCGTACTGTGAGCTTCTTTCTATCTATATCCCGTCTTGCTTCCTTTAATTTTCGATCTCTTCTTTTTATCTCTCTACCTATTTTCCCTCGTGTCAAATTTATACTCTGTACAATTTCCCAACTTCACTCTCTCTTTCTCCTACTCTGTCTTCCTTTCCCTCCTCTCCTCTTCTTAAACGACTTTAAAACACAGACGCTCTCCTCCTCCTCCTCTCCTCCTCCCACTCCCACTCCCACTCCAACTGTCACAGATTCTGAAAGCGTGTGCCCGTCCGTCCAACTCTCGACAGAAGCTCGTTGTGAAAAGACCTCTCTCGCTCTTTCTCCAGACAAGACAGAGCCCAGTGCCTGCTCCCCTCACACACACACACTCACACACACAGACACCCACAGACGAGTCAGAAAGAAGACGCTGATCCGGTAAGGAGATGGAAGTACAGGGTTCTGGACACGAGGAAACAGTCGCGTCTGGACATCTCAAGGGTCCTTCAAGAGCCTTTCACGATCAGCGGTCGCGATGAGGGGGGGGGGGCTGGATTCCTTGAAGAGCGAGTCTGTAGATCGGGGTTCCTGTGGGATGAAAAGAGTTAATGGCGTTGAGATAGGGCGTTAATACAGTCGGAATGCTGTAATGTTCGGACTGAGAGCGATGTTATTTCTTCTAAAAATGTTTGCGTTCCCCCTGGCCCGAAATGGGCACACGGAAATGAAGCACGGACGTTGTCTTTGTGTTGGGAGAGAGATTTAGTGAGTGCAAAAAGGCCCAAAAATGTGTTAGCTAGATTCATCATTCTTTATTCTGTCGACTAAAATCACAGATTATTTAAAAAGAAACTCCTGAGAATTGGTAGCTTATCTTATTAATGCCCATGCCCCCTGCCCCCAACCCCCACGCTCCCAAAAAACCCAAACACACACACACACACACACAC